CAGTCATTTTTAATGAAACGAAACTTGTTTAGGTCAATAATGTCACTGCATTTTTGTTTATTTTGTAGTTTTTTTTAACTAAGTGAATAGTAAATAGTAATTATATTTGAATGGATGTAATTAAAGCATCTCGATACATACTTTTTAGACTAATAAGTAATTCATTTTTTTTTTACTAATGCATTGAAATAGATTGTTAACCTTTTATACAAAATTAAAACCATTTGAGCTAACGAAAAAGACTTATGTATGTATCGAGTTTTAGTAGATTCGACAATTTTGTTTTTCGGTCATTCGATCGATCAATAATAAAATCTACGACTAACTATTAATTTAAGCAATTTTTTAGAATAGTACACATTTATGTTGACATACATATAATTATTATCAAGTAAATACAAAACCGATACATTTAAAATATAAACCATTGGAACTTATAAAATATATTTAGGCTATTCAATATGTATCACTGTATCACAGTGCTAAGAAAGTCATTACCATACTATAATGTGTGTGAGCGCTTAGATATTGAAAAATGAGGAACAAAGGTAGATTTGTTGTTGGTTAACCAAATGTTAGTCATATGCCTTTGTTCATCAACCATTAATATTTTAAAGAAAATATTAGATATATTATTAACGAATAATAGTCAAGCACCAAGTTTTAGTTTCATTTTATATTTCACCATAAAATTTCCATAATGCATATAAAATGCAGAAGATAGATAAAAATCTATAAAATAACTAAAAGCTTGACATTTGAACTACTATAATAAAAATTATAATCAAACACAAAATATAATAATTTTTTAGTTTACATGAAAAGCTACATATCAACAAATTTCGCAAAATATCACATCTTACTCAATTCTAGTAATCAGTTTTACATATTATGGAATGACTTTCAAGTAAAAAAGCCTACCGTTTTAAAAATTTTAATAATATATTGCTAATAAAAAATGTTTTTATGAGTTTATATTACTCTTCGAAGATTCCAAGTGGAAAGAAACAATAATTATAATACATCTTCATCTAAAGCAAAATACATTTTATAATTATTCCTAGCCTACATCTTTTAACTCCTATAAGATACCAAGTATAAATCAATATTATTATTGTTTATGTTTTATTAAGTCACGCTGCACGCCCTTTTTTTTGTTCATTTTTGGTTATTGTTAAATCATAACCATACCGTCAAAATATGGGGATTAAAGAATTTCGTTGCAAGTATTGTCTACTGATAAGATATGTGAAAAAGTATTGTCTACTGTTAAGATATGTGAATAATTGAGCAGGCGTGTATAAACGGTCAAGGTTTCCGACCATAGCTAGGTTAAGAACCGCCTTTCCACGTATTATAAATAATAAAAAAAAGGAAGGAGTGTTAATAATGTCTGGTTATCGGTTTTACGAAGGGGTTGATAATATTATTTAATAGGAAGTAACATGTTACCTGTGTTGAAAACCCCAATGAATATTGATCGAAATTTTAAATATTTATAACGTAATAAGTAACCAACCGTTAGAAGAAAATTAAAAATTCAAACGGCTAAACTGAAATTTAATTGTATACTACACATGTATCGAGTTAATAATAGTTGGTCCCATTTAGAAAAACGAAGTCACTAATCGCTGAACATATAAGAGAAGAAGTTAAAAATGCTCACGGTATTGAAAAGTAAATTACGAACCATAAAGAATAGAAAAAATTTGGATCACCCTGTATTGTTATTTGTATTTTTTAATCCCATACAGAAAAGAAATGTGAACATATTTTTCCTTATGTTTTAAATAGTTTTGGCCGTCAAGTGTTCCGAATGTGTGATTTTAAAAATATTGTTATAAAACTATATTTGTTCTGATTCGATCAGGTCTAGATTTTATGTTACAGCTACTACCAGTACAATTTAATGTTTATCGTTTTGGATTAATTTTTTTATTTAAAGGGTATTGTTTTCCTGTAAAATGGTTGTATTTTATATTTGTCAAGTTAAGTGATTCTTGAATAATGTCAAGAAAGACTAAAAATGACCCTGACAAATTTCGTAATACCTGTGGTGAAATTATATGAATATTATTTTGGCTTTCCTGTCGGGCAACAAGACAAATTATATTAGTTTTCATGTTACACACAAAAAGTAAAATGTTGTTGACTAGTGATATTAAGTCTAGTTTATTCATTTAAATTTGTTATAACTAAGTGCTTAGCTGTCAAAAATACCATTTATTCAATAATTGAACGACTTGTGTAAGTGTATAAAAACTGAAAAAATAACGTGATGAAACACCTAATGAAGAACGCAATTCTTTTGTGTAGCTAAATTGCCTACTCTCGACCCCATGTTTCATCAACAAGTTGTGTTTCTTATCGACTAATCGCAAACTATATCATAGTACAACGTTCGATTTTATAATTATAGCATAGATCATTGATAGGTATTAAGATCATATGTTTCCAAAAATCAAAATAATCATAATTACAAATAAATTTTTATTCGAACGGATTTAAATAAAAGCTGTCACGCTAACATGTTGTTAGCTATAGTAAGTTATTGTAAGCTCTATACGCTTTTATGCTCTTATGTACATTTTTTTTTTAAATATTGAAAGAACTTTGATAACTATTATGTTGTGTTTTCATTTACGGTGTACCAGATGTGAGAATAAAAAATTATTATCGTCTATTGACATTAGTTGAATAATAACAAATGATTAATATTAAAAAAAAAAAAAATCAGTGTGCTCTTCGTTTTAACGTTATCCTTTTTAATACCATTTTTCAACTTTTTTCGTACATTTTAATACATTTTTAAGAATAAATTATATGTAAGAAAAAAACATACTTTTAATTATATTTCAAATGTTTGATATAATTTTACATTTTGAATATTTATGACTTAAGTTCAAATACATTTTAATCTTTAATAAATAAATAAATTGAAGGATGTTTAGGCGAAAGAACACAGGTCAATTTTGGCCATGTGCATGTACTGTACTAAAAGCAATTTTTTTTATTATCATTTTCATTAGTTCTTGTCATAATATTATTTATTATCATAACAATTGCCATGGGGTGTATAACCGTACATACTGTCCTATTCATTGTAATTTTTGTGCGAAATATTTAACGATTTAAATATTTAATCATGTCAAAAAGGGGAAAAACTCTTATAAAATTAGCAACTATTCCTAGTAAGTATTATGTAACATATTTTAATAATATTTCGCTTAAATTCTCTTAATTAACATTAAATTTTTTATAAAATATAAATTGTTTTTAAATTTTCTGGTTACATATTCCAGTGATATCGTCGTAATCTCCAATACCATTCAAAAGACTTCAATTTCCTATTCGGTTGGCTTTCGCGATGACCATATATAAGTCTCAAAGACAAACAATGTCCATTTTCGGCTTCGACTTGAAAAATCCATGTTTCTCCCATGGAAACCATAAAATCTATTTGTGTTTGCAAAAGACAGATTAACCAATAAATTTCGTGCACCAATTAGCGCATAATTAAATTTTATTAATATAAACTAATAATAACCTAACAATTTATGAGTACTATGATTTATGTGTGTTTCTTAACTCGTGTGAAGACGGGTACAAGGGTAGCTAGTATATTATACATTATTCGTGCAATAGTTATTAAGTTTAAATAAATAATTAAAGTACGTAATCTACAACCCTCTAGAGTACACTAAACATTTTATTAATGGTTAAGCATACAATATATTTTGTACTAACGTTCTAATTATCTATATTGAATAAATTAAGAAACAATCTAGACAAAAACTAACTGAAATTTAGAATACGCTTATTTTTTAAAGTGATGTTTTTTTATTTTTCTTTATCATCACCGACAATACTGAATAACACATATGAATTACCTGTAACAAACAATAAATACAAAATATTAAATAAACGACGATAATTGAATTTAAGTACACATTTATGATAAAAGAAATATAATTATTATGTAGTCAATTTTTCATTACAAATAGATAAATACATAACTGCAACGTTTAAAATCTAAGGCATTGAAACATATAAACGAAGAAAATATTTGGGACTACAGTTTTTTTATACTACCGGAAAACAGTGTTTTTCGCCGATTTTGTATATTATTTTAACTAAACACGTTAAATCTTCAAAAAAAATGACCAAATCATGAAAATAGTTTTGTCGACATCTCTTTAGAGTGATTCTAGTAAATTTTCATTTTATATAAGTAAATACATAACTGTCATGTTTAAAATCTAAACGATTTGAAAATATAAAATATATTTATGCGATTCAATATGTATACCTCTACCATCGTCCTAAGAAACTTATTTCTGTACTATAATGTTATAATTTTATTTAGTTTAAAAGTTTTTCATAACCCTACCCGAATTTTTGTTGTTATTTTAGCTTTGATGCGGAGAAGCGATGCTATTGGTTTTAGTTAAATATGTTCAGGAGTTTAAACTCACATTATGTATCCATACCATATTAAACGAATCAATAGTTAATATTTCCAAACCAGTAGAGTCCAAATCAAGTATACTTAGAAAGTATTAAAGTGAGGTGCAGTGTTTACAAATAAGCATCATAGCGTTTATTTTCAAGTGATTTTATCCGAGTAAGTCAGTACAGTGAGGTCGAGGTATAATGAGATCAATTATTAGTGGGACGAAGAAGTCACAGGTCTACAGGCATTATTATAAATAAAAGTGATAAAATTGCTTTCAAATAAACGTTTTGATGCTAACAATGCAAATCGCTTTAATACTTTCTTACTGGGCTGATTTATAATATGCTTGATTTTGAATCTACTGATTTGAAACACTAACTATTAGTTTTAAATTTCCTATAAACCTGTGACCCCGTTCCCACTATACCTCGACCCACTGTGCTGCAACCCCACTTATGCTCTAAATCCATTGTACTTCTATTTTAACTTCAACTCTAGTTATTATTGTGTATTGATGTTCATTTGATAAGAAAATAAATATAAATCATATACATACATTGGCAAATATTTCCATATTTACTATCTTGTTGGGCGTCACTTTTATTTTTAATTGGTGAGCATTATTCATTGCCATTGTTAATACAATTAATCTTTTGACATCGATGTTCGAATCTGTCCAGTTACTACTGTACAACGCAAAGTTTATAGAGTCTTTCTGCAAATATGGAAGTATCAAACATAAACAGTTAAAATACACACGAAATATGAGTAGAGGGGTACGAAATATTACATATTCGTTAATGTTCCCAAATAAGTAGCAAGGCAAAAAAAGTTCAAGTAAAACCATGGGAATTGCGCTAAATAACTTAGTCGTCTGCAAAAAATCTTCTTGTTCACCATTTCTTGCGTTCTGAAAGTACAATGCAAAGATTTAATTAGTACCTTTAATTACTTTCTACAACAGATTTTTCTTACCAACGTCATAACAAACGTTAGGAACACCAAAGTATTTGAAACGATTGCAATTTGGGTGAGCACAATTGGTCGTACCATTTCATAAAAACTACTCATTTCTCTATACAAAAATACAAGCAATGCTAAATTTGAAATAATTAAAACAATGTTAATAATATATTAGTTATTGGTGTTATTAATATTTAGTATTATTTATACACATCATACTATGTTTCTTCTACTTTTTATTACAGATTGTGTAAATACCCTATATAAATAAAATAGTTTCAATTTATAATTACATTATGACTCTCGCGTGAACAGATATAATTGATTTGAAATCTTGTAACACACGATCAGGTGAAGAATTATCGTCTATATAAAATAAAAAAAATTAATGAATTAAAAATGTTTAAAGAAGTTTGGCTTTCAAACATAAATAATTGTTGTATAAGTATAGACTTATATTATAATATGGTTTATCAGTTTTTGCGAGAGAAAGTTTGGCAATACAAATTGGTGATGATGAAGTGTATGAGGATGATATGTTCAAGTAGTTGTGTTGAAATATCAATTAATAATAATATTCTTCTTAGAATATAAGTACGCAATAATATTGTTCAGATAAACTTGTTTTCTTAATAAGCAAAATATTATGGCGTGTATTATATTAACCTGATTCAACGAAGTCCAAATTCATTGCGTTAAGTATTATGAAATATATGTTTCACGCACTAATATTGAACGAAATTTAAATTACAAAAAAACTTACTATATAAAACATTATCTGATAAATTTCTGAGGGACTTTATTGAATAGGGCTCACGCTTTTCTTTTTAGTAAAAAATTAAAGATGTTTAACATTATTTAAAATTGTAATTAATTTTCGGTCTTTTTCAAAATAATTGGCATTTTAAATGAAATGTGCTACAATTGGTAGGTAAATTGTTCTTTTAGTAAAATTATTTTTAATTTTGACATTTTTATGTCTTTGCTATGGCACACACATGGAAAATCGTCACCGATACCGACACCAACACCGCTTATCATAACGAAAAATAACAGCCGATTTATCTGATGAGATAAGAGAGATAAGGGAAGGAGATAGGGGGTGAAAGGTAGGGGATGAGAGTTAGGGGTGAGAGATAGGAGGTGAGAGTTAGAGAAGAAGGATGGGATGGAAATGGGGTTGGGGTTGGTCATAAGGATAAGGATGAGGTCGAGGTTGAGGATGGAAAGGGATGAATTTTTTTGTTATGTGTTGTTTTCACAACGAACAAATTTAAATTAATGGTTAATGAATTGATTCAAAATAACTAGCCAAGTAAACGTTTTGCTAATAAATCGATTAAGGCAAATTATTAAAAAACTACTAAAATACTTTTGACCACAACATAAAATTAATCATAAACTACCATTTGAGTACCGTGGTTACTATTGTGACAAAACAAGTGTTTATTTTGGGTTAGCAACGAAAAATATTTCGAATGGTATCAAGGCTTCAGAATCGAGGCGAAAAAAAAGAAGCGGACGGTGCTCCGCAGAACGAGACATAAAAATGTATACTGTGGTGTTGCGGACTCGTACGCAAACTGTTAAAAAATAATATGCAATACCTTTCTTAGTAAAATAACTTTAAGCCAAGCCAAGTAAATCTTTAGGCCAAGTTTTTATGTCTTTGCTTTGGCACATGAACTGAAAAATTGACATCAGCAATCGACACCAGTTATCATAACGAAAAAATCAGTTGATTTACCTGATAAGAGATATAAGAGATAAGGGAAAGAAATAAAAGATATGGTTTTTACTTTGGAACACAACCGGAAAAATCGACACCGACACCGATATCGAAAACTTATCCTTACATATATCCTTCTATATCCTTATATCCTTATATGTCCTTCTTATGAGGGTGGGAATGGAGATGGGGGTGGAATGGGGATGGGGATGTTCCATTTATGTGATAGGATATAAAAGATAGTGGGTAAGAGATAGGAGATTAGAGATGAGGGATGGGGTTGGAAATGGGGGTGGGGGCATATATGTTGTATTCACAACGTTCAAAATAAAAATGAATAATAAATTCAAATATTTAAGGGGCCAAATTCTCTATAAACTGTTTTGGGCCAGATATTATGAAAACACTAAAATATTAGCCAGAAACTTGATATGCTTACTAGCCAACTTAGATACATAAATATAAAAATTTATCCCGTGGTGTGCGGATTCGTACGCAAGCTGTTAAAATATATTATGTAATACCTATATAAAAACATTTAACAGATCCATGCAAACATTCTTTTATTTATCTTTTTAGTTTACTTTTTTACTATATTTTTAAAATTATAAAAGTCTTAGAAAGTTAACTATATAGAGAGTTGTATTTTAAAGAAAACGAGTATTATCCATTGTGGAAACGCAGTCCAGTCATATTTATCCTACGTAAATGTTTATTACATAACTCATATTTTAATAAAATATTACACTTACTTCCGTACGTATCTTCGTTCAGTTTAAGCATTTTGTAAGCTAATGCGATTTTATTTAGTTGGCCTGCCAGCGACATGCACATTGAAATTAATAAAACGTCGAAAATTATCGTAGTATATGTGTATACCCAACTAAGGATAATTTCGATCATATAAAATAAACCAAAATTATTATTATAAACATTACTGGAAACCAGAAAAAAAAAGTTGAATGCGTTGTAACGGTAACTGCTGAATGTACCGTCGTAGTTTTGTAGTTGCAAATAATTTGTTTCATCACTTAACATCAGCGGAGTTATTATCCAACAGCAAAAAGCCAACAAAATAATTACGCAATATATCTCGGTCGCCCTTAGAGATAATTTCCGGTAACGCTTCAATAGATCATCGCCGCTGTTTGAACTGCATCCCATGAAATTGAATTTACCTACTTTCATGTATTTTTCGATTATTCTCGAGTTTTTCATTATGGTGTAAACTTTGTAATTTCCGAATAAAAAGTTTTCTAGACCGACTATTTGAATAATTATATGAGCTGTGTTGTTATGCCAGTAGTAGAGCCCGTACAAATTAATCAGTAACACTGACGAAGATAGCACAATGCTAATTATCACTATAGTTGTAACTATTCTGTACCCGTAAATTTTGCTACTGTTTTTGCTCAATAGTTGATTCAAACCAAACAGGTTTAGCAGTTTAATGTTGATCATATTATGCTGTCCGTTTGTTTCCTTCATGACAACTTTTGAAAATCACCTATTTTCCATAAGTTATAATTATTTTATTATGTTATAGTTTTAACATTTATGAGACAAAAATGCCCATGCTAGTATTAGCTAATAAATAGTAATACAGTCACAGGTCTGCGTTATTTTCTCAGAAAGTGATAAAATCACATTATCAGCTCTTCGTTGTGAAACTGTAGATGGTATATAATGTATTGAAGTATAAATAACTTTAATTAATTTAATTTTGTTTGAAGTCGTGTTGTTTTATTAACTATTTGTTTTCCTTAAAAAAACATGTTAAGACGTGACTACAGAAATTCAACTCGGTTGTGTTGAATTTTTGTAGAAATATACTAAGAGAAAACTGTTAAAGTGTTAGAGTCATTCACAGTCATATTGAATGACTGCGTAAAAATAAAAAAATATTTACTATAGGAAATAGATAGAAGTTTTAAACGTTCTAGGGAAAAGGGTTTCCGATATTTTTCTTGGATTTTAAATTTTTATTGTTTGTTCTACACAAAAACCAGCATCCATTCAAATTTTAATTTACGTTAAAGGGGCGCCACACACCCGTTATTTTCTTCAAAAAACTCGCCTTGCGCGGATTAATTTTACTAAGGCTGTAATCAAAACTAAGAAAACAAATCTTCGCATAATATAGATAACAACATTTACTGTGCTCTACCATCGCCTTTTTTAAAATATTTTAACCAGTTAATGAATAATTAAATAATTAATAAATTACTTTTTTTAAAAATGTTATAACGTTGGTTGTATTAGGTGTATCGTAAAATACGGATAATGGAACACAGATAATTTTGTCATAAATAATATGTATGAATTTTATTCCTTAACTATATAATAAGAAGCCTAAGGAAAATTAATCCACGTAAAAGTCAACTCAACCGAATTTTTTTTTTTTAAATCGCTGTCAAGGATGCTATGGTAGTCTAAAAAATAATGTAACTACTAAAAAAGAGGCCTAACTTCTGAACTCATAGTTACACATCACAGATTAACCTTCAAGTTAATATTTTGTAAATAATTGCCTATACTTTACACCTTAATATGGACGGTTGGCGTCCTCTTAAATTTAATTTTTGACTATAAAAAAGATACGTTCAGAGCTCCACATCAAAGTTAAAATTAAAAGTAGAAGCTGTAATCGAAAAACATCGTAGGAAAAAACCGTGTTTACACTTTTAAACCAACTCTGCAACGTTATTACAATTATTGTTACGATATATCTTAATAGCAACTCACTTACTATGGAATGTAAGACACCGTCACTACCACAAGGCATACAACAAACGTAGGTACGCCAGCTTGTGCAACAACGAAGAAACTGTGTTAAATGAAATAGGTAATACTCTAGGCGACTATTATAGGTTCATTTGTTATTCCAATATTTGTTCGATGTGTTAGTAACTGGTAGTTCATGTTAAATGCTATTATACATTAATGATACATTAGGTTTAGTCAACGTCATGGTTTTCTGAAAAATTGTTTTAACTATTAATTACTCGTATTCACGTAGATTTATTTTATTGATTGACCTAAGGGGAACGTTTGCCTAGTGGAGCGTGAAAAATGTAAAACGCAGTCATTTTTAATGAAACGAAACTTGTTTAGGTCAATAATGTCACTGCATTTTTGTTTATTTTGTAGTTTTTTTTAACTAAGTGAATAGTAAATAGTGATTATATTTGGATGGATGTAATTAAAGCATCTCGATACATACTTTTTAGACTAATAACTAACGCATTGAAATAGATTTTAACCTTTTATACGAAATTAATACCATTTGAGCTAACGAAAAACACTTATGTATGTATCGAAAATTTTGTTTTTCGGTTATTCGATCGATCAATAATAAAATCTACGACTAACTATTAATTTATCTACTGTGCAAAGTATATAGAGTCTTTCTGCAAATAAGGAAGTATAAGACGTAAGCAGTTAGATTACACACGGTTTATGAGTAGACGGGTACGAAATATTACATATTCGTTAATGTTCCCAAAAAAGTATCAAGGCTAAACCGTGTTTACACTTTTTGACCAACATTGCACCGTTATTACAATTAATGTACTTACTATGGAATGTAAAACACCATCACTACCACAGAGCATACAACAAACGTACGTACGTCACCTTGTGCGATATAGAAGAAACGGTATTAAATGAAATATCTAACATTCTAAGGGACTATTATAGGTTCATTTGTTATTCCAATATTTGTTTGATATATTAGGACTGGTAGGTCATGTTAATTGCTATTACATATTAATGATACATTTTGTATAGTCAACGTCAGGGATGTTTGCAAAATTCTTTTAATTATTAAAACTAATACGCAGGTAGATTTCTTTTATCGATTGACCTAAGGAGACCGTTATGCGGAGCGTTACAAATGCAAAACGCAGACATCTTTGATGAAATGAAACTTGTTTAGGAGAATAACTTTACTGAATTTTTGTTTGTTTTGTAGTTTTCTTAACTTAGTGAATCGTAAATACTGATGATATTTGGATGGGTGTAATGAAAGTCGATCAACACATTATTTTTAGACTACTGACTTCACAGTTATGCATCTAAACTTAAATAGATATTGAAAATTTTGTACATTAAAATCAGTTAAGCTAATGAAAAATACTTTACTTTTTTTTTTTTATTTTTTTTTTTATTTATTAAAGAGTATTTACAATCTATGCTGCAAGGCATATGTATAAGTTACATTGTTATATATACAGAGAGAGGGAAAAAAAAATAAACAAATAGAAACGGTGATTTGATATGAGGAGGGAGGCTATCCAGTAATAGAACCCAACGTGATTTTTGTTCTAATTATTTTTAATTAGATTAATTTGAATTATTGTATTAACAGATCTCGACACCAATGTCTTCGGAGTCGGCGAGGTGGATTTCCGGGGAGTGAATTAGAAGCAAGTTGAGATATTAAAGGGTTAGAATGAGTGTGTAATTTGGAATGAAATTTTTTGTAGTGTTTTATGGCTAAGTAGTTTATTGGTTCTATTTTAAAGTCATTTTGAAGTGTGCAGTTTGATACATACCATGGGGCAGAAGAGATAATACGTAGAGTGATAGATTGGAAAGCTTGTAAGGTACGAAGTTGGGATGGTTTTGCACATCCCCAAATTTGGATTGCATATGCCCAAATAGGCCTTAATAGGGATTTGTATATAATAATTTTATTGTGGAAAGGTAATTTTGATTTGAGGATTGGACGTAGTAAATGGAGTCTGCTGTTGAGAATTTTTCTTTTAGATTTAATGTGGGAGCCCCAAGTTAATCGTTTGTCGAGTGTGACACCAAGATATTTGACTTCCGAGGATATTGGAATAAGTATTCCTTGGAATTGGGGAGGGGGTGGAACAGATTTTTTTAGTGTGAAGGGAACGTACACAGATTTATCTGGATTAATTTTAATTCTCCAATTAGATGAAAAATACTTATGTATCTATCGAGTTTTAGTAGTATCCATAATTTTGCTTTTCGGTCATTCGATGGAACAATATTAAAATCTACGACTAACTATTAATTTAAGCGATTTTTTTTTAGAAAATGCAACGTTATAATGTATTGTAGGTCCAAGGCATTTACCATAAACTGTCATTCTTAACACATCAAATGAATATTAGAATATAAAATGAACGTTCAATAGTCACGAAAGTATTATTTACTTTAATCCTTTTAAAATATGGTACTTAATAGTTTATGAATATTTGAGAAACTAGGTTTGTTTATTTATTATTTAATACAACGCCTTTAAAAAACATACAAATTACACGATACCTCTTGCATAATTATAATATAGTGTCTTCCCTAAAAATGTAATGACGTTAAGTTTAATTTGTAAGATAATAACCTCGTTTATTGACATAACCTTTCTTTGACAAGACTTAATGAATAAATAAAAAACACCGGTATAACACAATGAACCCAAATTGAGCCTATCACATCAATAATGTAAAAACAGGCGGTGAATCAACGGTAGCAGCAGTGGACTTTGTAAATCCGGTTAATTCCGGTGGCCACGGATTCATTGGGTAGTCTTACCAAGGTCGAGTTTATCGGAAGTCTGTCCAACTTGCTTGTATTTGTAACAATGTAAACCTCGGAATGTTAGGAATTGTAATATATGTAGTCGACTCGTTAAGTAGGTTAATAATAATTTGTTATTAATTAATTTAAACAAGTTTCTAATGCATTTGAATTGAAATGTTTATATTATATTATGTATGTCGTTACACTACAGTTATTTGATAATATATGTTAAATGGTTATTGTTACTGATATACAATGAGCTAGTAATTATACGACGGTGGAGC